ACAGAAACAGAAATTATTATATTTTATGTTAAAATCAAATAATCAAATATTTCAAGTAATTATTTAACAAGAAAATCCAATTACATTATTTTTTGAATTCATCATATGCATAAAATTATTTTTCAAGTTAGAAAAAATCTTAGAGTACATAAATTTATTCCATAAAAGAGTGTTAGAGATTAAAAAAAAATAGATCATAAAGTAAAAAATATTAGTATAATATTATGAAGGCCATACACGTATTTGAGGAAGCACAATCAAAGCTAAATTCTGAACAAGAATAAGCTTTCAAGACTATATTATAAAAAGTCGACTAGGTATATCAGGATTATCCTTTGTAGATGCCTTCGGCGGGATCGAAATAATATTCTTATCTCATGCATTAATTACAAATGTCTATCAAGAGACATGATATTGTTAGCAATAAGACAAGTGGTACACCATCAACGATTTTATTATGAGGTCGTACAACTCACTTTAGATTTGATATACCTCTTCAAATATTTGAAATAATCACAAATATATCAAACCAGAGAGCAATAGTGCTAGATTTATAAGGAAATCAAAAGTGATAATATGGGATGAAGCGTTTTTGGCTAAGTGTTAAACGATTGAAACAATCACCTAGAGTTTTAGAGGTATATTGGATTTCGATGAACCGTTTGGTGGAAAAGTAATAGTTTGGGAGGTGATTTCTGTCAAGTACAATCAATAGTTCCAAAATTGACCAAAGCAGAAACTGTAAAAGCTAACTTGCCAAAATTATACTTACGATATCAAATGAAAAATATTCAAATGGCAAGAAATATAAAATTAAGAAAAAATCCAACATTCAGTGACTTCTTGCTTCATATCGGAAACAAAGAAGAGCATCTAATAAAAGATGATTTGGTTCTTCTAGAAGACTTGATTATCAACCCCAATAGTAATAATAGTGCATTTAATAAGGAAAATATTTTCATCATTAGATTAAAACACAATTTGTGCAATTACATGATAGAAATTAAAGAGCTATCTTAGCTAGCAGAAATGAATATGTTGATCAACTAAATAAAATGTTGATTGCTAAGTTTTATGGTAAAAAGTATTTTCAGTTTTGACTCAACAAAAGATGATACCAACAATTACTACCAAGAAGAATACTTAAATACTTTAATACCAAATGACCTTCTATTGTATATATTTGTTGGCAAGTTCGTTATTTCTTACGTATGTTAGTGTCACCATATATATAATAGACTACGTTAAAATTGATCTTCCATTGCATATAGGTTGATTTTGAAGAAAAATATGATGTCATGTTACTGAAAACTTAGATCCGCTGAATAGCTTATGTAATAGTACACATATGGTATATAGAAGTTTTGACAATAACGGCATACACGCAAAACTTATGATACTGGCCAATGTGCTTCTAAGTATGTGTTTATCCCCGAATTCAACTTCTGTCTTCCGAAACTAAAGAATATCCTTTTAAATTTGTGTGAAAATAATTTTCAGTATGTTTTGTTTTGTAGTTATAATAATTTAAAGCACAGGGATAAACATCCTAAATATTGGACTATATATACCAGAATATGTTTTCTTGCATGAATAACTATATATTGCACTTTCAAGAGAGATATCAATATCGACAACAAGAGTTCTGGTTATGGTAGAGTAAGCAAAGCAATAGAAGGAAACATATAAAAAAAACATCGTTTATAAAGAAGTGTTTGGTAAGATACCATCACATTAGATACCTTTACAACACATAATTATCTACTTAACATGACTAAAATTGATCATTTATGTAAGTTCTGATGATGTTCTTTCATTTTGAGTTCACGTATTATGCTAATGTAACAATCTTTTTCGGCATTTAGACGATTGTTATAGTATTTTATATAAAATTTCTCTCATTAATTAAATTTTATTGTTCCTTCGTATAAATAAATATTTAAATCATCATATACTATTATTAACGTGCAACACACGTTTATAGATACTAATATTGATAAATGTGTCAATTCCCTCTCCACTTTTTTCCTTTATTTAATCTTTATTTCAATTTACATCTTATAATTATTTCTTCATCGAATTTATGTTGCCTTTGCTTTGTTGTGATAGGCTAATGTGAAGAAAGGACCATGACAACCTCAAGACCAAAACAAGCTCTAAGATTTCATTGACAAACAAGAAAATGGATAATTTTGAATGGTACATGAGATATATGACCTTTTTCTCTTAATTTTATTTTACTTGATTACCAAATTTTTATTCAGTAGATTAAGAATGACTCATTTCACAGTTCAGATTTCATATATATCCACCAGTGAGATTCGAACTATTAACTTCTATTAATGTATAAATAAAAAAATAAATAATATTTATAGTTGTATATGATGAAGCTGAATTTTGTGTGTGACGCGTACGTCCAAATAAAAAAACGAGGCTTGAATATTCTTGCAGTAAAAAGTAACCAACCTTGAGAAGATAATTATCCATGCATAATTGATATTATGGCTAAAAAGTATAGAGAAAATAAAGTTGATGAAAAAAATACTACTTCTTACATCATCTATTCAAGTAATTAAATTTCATAAGGGAGATATAGCATAGTTTAATCGATAGCGTGCTGGCAAGAATGACCGAGATAGAGTTGGTCGGAGAGTGTGTTTTTCTACTTTATTCAATAAGAGGTCTTAAAATTACTGAGTAATGCTACCTTTTGGTATATTTAAATTTGTAATTAAAATCAAATCAATTATTTTTCAAGTATATGCACATTAACCTTTTTTAGTATATATATTCTATAATAAATGATATAAAATACACGTGCAACTCACGTACAGAGAGACCTGTATATATATATACATATATATATATATATATATATATATATATATATATATATATATATATATATATATATATATATTACTCCCTCTATTTCGTGAACTTAATTCCTTTTTGGTCCATTTCAAAAAGATTTCTAAATTTGATAACAATTTAGCTTAAACTTATAATTCTATCCTTAATGAGAAGCTTTTATAACCACACAAATACTTAGGGCCTCTTTTTGACTTGTTTAGTACCATAAATTTCATAAGTCTTCATTTTTTCGTATCCAGTCAAACAAGTTTACATAACTTGAAACGGGGGGAGTATAATTTTTAAAGAACCTAAAGAAAAGTGTTAAAGTATTTATATAAAGAAGTATATCTAGGTAAAAATTCCTATTGATAGTAATAATTTCAGTTTCTTTAGACGGATGGATTTCGAAATGGACCTAATATCTAATGGATTTGGGTCATGTTTTGGGCTGATTTCACGACCCATGAGAGGCATCCTCATTTGGGATTGAAGAACCGACCCGTTTCAGAGTCTCAACGTCGGCGATTTGCTTCTGATCTAGTCTCTCCGGCGAATTCGATCTCTTTTTTTTTACCGGTGTATGTTAAGTTTCCATCTTTTTGCCATTATGCCATTGTAATGACAAACTTATAATCATGAGAGAAAAAAAAAAACCTTGTATTCGCTAAATGGGATATAGGGACAGAACTCAAAACAAATTAGAACTGAAATTGATCTGAATGGCTAAGTTGTTTGCCCATTATGATCCTTGATTTCAGAGGGAATGGACCCTTGATACCAGTTGAGAAACTGCTTGATTCATTATAAGGTAGAATTGAATGATGTAATTCAAAGGAATCAGCTGTTCAAATGAACATCTTCAAGGTTTCAAGCTGGTCAGCCAAATAGCAAGTGTTCTCAGTGATCCACTTTTTGAACAAAATATACAATTTATTACCTAGAAACTCCTTCTTGTATTGTAGTCTTCAAGCTTTTCTAATAATCATTTTCTACAACTCATTTTCCATATCTTAATAATAAGTGCGTCTTAGTTTCATCTTAAGTTGCTCTGACTGGCAATTTAGGTGCCGCACTCGTGTCAGTACGACAACTAGTATGGGTTTGGTGGGTTATGCGATTTCGGGATCCGGTCAAACAATTTTGGGATTGGACCATGAGGACGGAAGAATCGGGAAGGATGAGATACCAATTGGATTCCCGAAATCAAGAACCAAAACTAGGATAAAATTTGAAGAAAATAGCATACTTCATCTAGAAAATCAAGCATTTACTTATGTACGACTTGAGAATAAAAAAGAAATCCACACTTTACAAGCTATACGTAAGTATTCCACAAATTTTCTCATTATTAGAGATATTTTTATATTTTTATTATTTTGAATTATTTTTAGCCAGATCCCCGCACTCGTATCTGTACTAGAATTCATATCCCTGAATCTTAGAATTTACATCTCGAAGGATCCGACCTCTAGATCTACACCCGTGTCGGACACCCACACCCATGTTCGAGCAATTTAGGTTTTCAGAGGGTATTTTACAAGCTTTTAGAAACTAAAGGAGTGTATAGTTTTCCATCCTAGTAGACCATTGGCGCGAGCTACACTTTTTTGGTTGTAACTCTGTAGAGCCCTTTGGATGAGTCAAATATTGTTCTGATTTTCCCTTGGCTGCAGAACCCTTTTTACAACTGATTTTAAAATGTACAGAAAAGGAGGTGTTCACACTCGTTAGCACATAAACTAGACTCTTTCTTGTTTCCATGGTTTTTGGAGTTTAGAACTTTGACGAAGTTGGATCCTGCGTTGCTTTTCCTCTTTTTATTTTCTGGATAAGAGAAAATATGTTGATGTCTCCACTACCAAGAAACTTAATGCTACTTAAATGTCCTTTTCTTGTGACAATGTTCTTTTCATTATACTTGTAAATTTGGATATTACAGTATCCTTTTAGCATTATTTGGTTGGACCTTTGGGTCAATGATACAGCAGGAAACTCAGTCATATGGTGTTGGCAGAGCTGAGTTACAAGTTTAACAATAGAATATTATGAAATGGTGTTCAACGTTTTGTTTTGGGTTAATAATTTTTGCTTTGATACACTTAGGCTATTATCATAATCTAACTTATGTGCCATAATAACTGCAGATGGGAGAACTGCAGGTGGAAAGGCATGTTGCGTACATTTTAACAGTTGAAAAGGTACTCATCTTGTTTCACATCTCCTTATTCTTTTTCCTTTTCATCTTATACTATATCTGTTATTGTATTACTTGTTCACCGGAAAGTTTCCATCTGCATCATTGTTCTGGTACGCATGTGGCTGCTAGTATCTGCTTCTTATGATCATATTTGTGTGGCACTGCTCAAACATACTACTGGAAGACAAATAGTCTTTTAATAAAATAGGCAAAAGTTAAATGGAATTCGGAACAATTAATTCATGTTGTAGAGCCTAAAGTTTGTCCAAGATATTTGGTTTATGTTAAAGTGGCACTAATATCATTTCATGGCTTTTCTCCTCAAATATTGTATTAGTTGTAACTTGTGACTCATCTTTGAGTTCCAGTAGTGTTTGGAGTAGACGTCTACATGATAGTTAGTAAGCACATAGAATGCCCAATAACTCTAGGAGAAATCATCTCCTAACTTCATAAATGTGGCGTGACATGCAAGTATTTTATGTTTAAGATGAATCAAATAGTTAATAATTGATTTTTTATGGCTCTGTTGCTTACTGTATCTCTATATAAGTATGTACGATATTATTTTTATTTCTAAAATGTGCTCATATAACTTCAGAGGAAAGATGATTTTGAATCTGTGGTGATGGAGCATCTGAGGTTAAATGGGGCATACTGGGGATTGACAACTCTTGATATTTTGGGAAAGCTTGATGCTGTGGATAAAGATGAAGTTATTTCATGGGTCATGCAGTGCCAACATGAATCCGGTGTGTTTTCTTGCACTTTGTTTTGTTTTGTGACAGTAAATATTTGGGCCTATTTCCAACTTTACTGTCATACTTTACTGCAGCTAGTCTGCCAGCTGCTCTTTAAAAGGATGCCTGTCTTTTTTTTGTTCTTTTTCTCTTTTACTCTCTCTTGTTGGATTAAGTTACTCTACATGATCTTTATGTAAAAGTTCACTTCCCCATTTGTCTAATATGCAGGTGGATTTGGTGGTAACATTGGACATGATCCGCATATGCTGTATACACTTAGTGCTATTCAAGTCTTGGCCCTATTTGATAAACTACATGTTCTTGACATTGATAAGGTGTCAAGCTGTATCCTTCGTCATGTCTGTCATTGCAGCAGAATTTCTGTCCATGGATCTCTTAGATCTCATCTATATCTATGAACTCTGTAACACTAATAGCATTGACTGCTTTTTTGCCGATAACTTAGAAACCAGTACTTGGATATGTTTGGCTCGTTTGGTGGGATTGCTCTTTGATACCTAGAATATGGTGAAACTATTGTAGAAGACACTCTTCAGTTGATTAATATTAATTAATTAATTGGCATTGAGTCTTAGGCACCAATTGAGAATCTGTATAACCAAGGATAAACTTGACTTTTTCGGCCAGATATTGCAGGCCTGCAAAATGAAGATGGATCCTTTTCTGGTGACATGTGGGGTGAAGTTGACACACGGTAATAGCTGCTCATTTTGTTTACTGTTTATGTATTTTAGCATGCTTCAGTGTAGAATTCGTTTCTTTTTCCCCCCCTTAAATTTTACTTATTCTAGCAGGGATTTGCTATAATTTTAGATATTCGGCTTTGAAAACTACTATTAGCAGTAATTTGAGAATGGTGTGACCTAAATTAAGTCTTCTTTTAGGTTCTCTTACATTGCAATCTGTTCTCTAGCATTGTTGCGCCAGTTGGATAAAATTGATGTTGGAAAAGCAGTGAAATATATTGTAAGTTGCAAGAATGTGGATGGTGGATTTGGATGCACACCTGGAGCAGAATCTCATGCTGGGCAAAGTATGTTGAACAAAGAAATGTTGAATTTTATCATACTTCCGTTAGTTGTTTGAACTAAAACATGAACAAGGTCTAATCTGAGCTTTATAATTTTGTTTCTATTGCTCAGACGCAATTTTTTTCCAAGATTTTCACATTTCATGTTCCACTTAAGGATTCTACTCCTAAGTCATTGTGATTAATTCCCATAACAGCGCACTATCATTTGATATCTAGATCAACAACCAAGACAATAAGCACTTATACCAGAAACCAGGATTAGTTGACAATAAGTAAAGTGGCAAAATCATCAGTTGAAGGTACTGGTGTTGCATGATATTTCAAGTTGTCAAAAGATTTGAAAAAGTCACGAGCAATGGATAGAGCACGATGACTCTTTATGGTTATTATCTGCTTTTAATAAACGTTCAATCGAGATAAATTATCCATTTGTAGGTCCTAGATTGGTGAAACAACTGATGTAAACAAACTGGGAATGCTCTGAAATAAAAATCCTTATATTTTGCTTGTCTCTTCTTTTGCATGGAACAAATAGGGTTTGCTGGAGGATTTATTTTCTCTATATAAAATATTTTTCTTTAATCATTCGATTTATATGAGAGTTAGTCAAAATCCATATTATTGGTGAAATGTTAGAGGGAGGGAACAATTTCAGCTATTTGTTGGTTTTTAAGCTCTTGTGTTCCATTTAGTTTCCATCTTTCGCTAGTATTCCTATCATATATAAGTCACTTTTCGCTGCATTATTGGACTGCAATCGATACTATGCCTCTTCATTGCAGTTTTCTGTTGTGTGGGAGCTCTTGCAATAACTGGTTCTCTGCATCATGTTGATAAGGACCTCCTTGGTTGGTGGTTATGCGAAAGACAAGTTAAATCTGGAGGTCTAAATGGGCGTCCCGAGAAGCTTCCTGATGTTAGTTACTCTTGCTAATTTCTATTTGCATGTCACTTGATCTTTATTGATATTCCTGTCGTTTCCTCTCAGGTCTGCTACTCTTGGTGGGTTCTTTCCAGCTTAATCATGATTGACAGAGTGCACTGGATCAACAAGGAGAAGCTTGCAAAATTTATTTTGGACTGTCAGGTTACATCTGAATTTGATATCTTTTTGTTGAATCTTGGCCATAGATATCATATTTTCACGTAATTGTACAACTCCATCATCAGCTTATAGAAATTACCTTCCTTTGTGAATGTAGGATAAAGAAAAGGGTGGAATATCAGATAGGCCAGATGATGCGGTTGATGTCTTCCACACTTACTTTGGAGTCGCTGGTAAGAGTTAGTTGACCATGCTGATTGCAAATGGTTTGCGTGTTTTTGTCTGTAATGACATGGTGGACATCATGCTTTTGAGCATGCCAACTTCATATCTATGAGAATTGAAAGATAGAAGCTTGGAAGTCTATTTAGAATATAAGAAGCTGATCTAAAACGTCAGTTACATGTTGTGTTGTGGTACACGGGTCATTACCTGTAAGATTCTGAGCTAACAATGGTGTTCATAACAAGCCATTCACATTAGCTTGAGCCATGATGCCAACCTTTCTGACTACTAATGTGGTATCTTGGAATAAACACCCAACATGTGTGTGTTAACCATGAACTTGATTAAAGATCATGAGAAAAACAAATTATAACGTGAAAGTCGATTTCTCTCTCTAACTGTTTCTCTCGGCGCAAGTTAACGTGGTTAGCTAACCTGCGCCTCGAAGCCACGGGAGGGAGGGGAAGACCTAAGCGGAACCAACAGAAGAATGTAACGGATGAGCAGCGTTCCTCAGCAACTAGGAATGCTGTGTTAGAGCTATTTGTATCTCCAAAAGGGCTACGAATTGAAGAACCAGAGGAAAGATCTATTTCGATAAACATGCAAGCTGGAGAAAACAGAGATGAAGGAGATCTAGCTATGAACAAAGGGAAAATGAAGGAAGGAATGAGTACCCCAGCTCCAATGGTAGTTACTGCTAAAGGAGACGAGACGGGGAGGAAAGAGCAAGGGACTAAGCAGAAAACAAATGGAACAGTACCATGCAATCAAGGTACTGTAGAGAAAACTAAAGATGATGGAAAGCAGACTGAGTCTAGGATCAAAACATGGGCAAATGTGGTGGTTGGGAACAAATTGGCTATGAAGGGCATGAATCTGCAATTTATTGCCCCAATTGTGCAAAATGGTGAGAAAATGGTGAAGCTAGAGGCTGAAGATGTAGAACAGGAGACTGAAAAATGGAAAAATGCTATTGTTATATACGTAATAGGTGAATCACCCTCTATTGGAGCTATGGACAGATTTGTGAATTCAATGGGTAAGTACTCAACGAGACCTCAGATCTACTACAACAATGAAGACTATTTCATTATATGATTCAGTAGTATTGAGGAAAGGGACCAAGTTTTGTACTCAGGACCACATACAATCAATAATCGACCAATAATTATGAAGGCATGGTCGGAGGAGTTCAATCTACATGATGAAGTTCTAAAGACAATCCCATTGTGGGTTAAGTTGCCCAATTTACCCATTAATTGGTGGAGTATGACTGCATTAAGCAAAATAGGAAGTGCCCTAGGTAATCCTAGTTATCCTGATGAATGTACGACTGGAGCAGTTAGGATCTCATATGCTCGATTACTAGTAGAAATGGATATTACTAAGCCCCTTCCAAGACAGGTGAAATTACAGGATCCTAAAGGGAAGGAGATGATGCAGGAGGTGGAGTATGACTGGGAACCTAAATACTGCAGTAAGTGTTTGAAAATAGGTCATGACTGTGCTGAAAACAGGAAGCCAATGCAACAACAAAGAAATATGCAGCAGAAGAAGGCTACTAAGGGTAGAATGATATGGGTTAGAGCAGATAAAGTAGAAGGAAATGAGAATAAGGAGAAGAAAGCTCGGGACATCAAAGGACTGAGCTAGATCAAGGGAGAGATGGAATGCAAAACAAGGAAGCAGGTTGGATCACAGTAGCAGGCAAATCAGCAGCAAGAGCAACCACAGCTAAGCAACAAGAAGTTCACAGTATTGATGAACTTAATGCTTTCCAGAGTTTGATGTATGATCAAAGGAGTGAAGTAGCAGGTACTAGCCAGAACAGTAGCCAAGGAGATCAGGGGTACTATCATTATCCTTATTTCATTCCAGTATGAGTGTTATAACTTGGAATGTTAGAGGGATGAATAAAACGTATAAGCAGAAAGAAGTAAAGGAGTTTATTAGAATAAATGATAAAGTTGTAATAGCTATAGTTGAACACAGAGTTAAAGACTTGAAAGCCAATGAAATAATCAAAAAGATAGCTCCAGGATGGGAATGGGTTTCTAATGCTAGAACAGGACAAAAAGGAAGAATATGGGTAGTATGGGATCCTAGAATATACATATTTGATCCCAGTGAAATAGATGAACAACTTATTCATGGGCAGATTAGCATGAAGTCAAAGCCAGTTAAGTTTGGTTTCACAGCAGTATATGGGCTACATACCATCAAAGATAGGAGAACTATGTGGGATAAGCTGAGGCAGATTAATAGCAATCAACAGGGTCCCTGGCTTGCAATGGGTGATTACAATGCAGTACTTCATGTAACAGATCGACAACATGGGTCAGAAGTGCAGGACATGGAAGTGAAAGACTTTAAGGAGTATATGATGGATACAGGTATGAGTGAACTACAGTCTGTGGGAAGGGGATATACATGGACAAATAACCATACATATAGTAGGATAGACAGGGGGCTGGTGAATACTGAGTGGATGATGACAATGCCTAGCTTGAAAATTCAGGTATTAGAGCCACTAATATCTGACCATTCTCCTCTGAAGCTGATGATCACACAGGGGCATACAAAGAGAAGCAGATTTTTTAACTGTATTGCTGATCACCCTTTCTTTATCCAACAAGTTGAAATGGCTTGGAAGGAGGGAAGGGAAGCTGGCAAGATGCAAACAGTCTGGCATAAATTAAAGAGAACTAAGGAACTTGTCAAGGATCTAAATACAAAGCATTACAAAGGGCTTGAAGGAAAAATCAAGGAGGCAAGGAAAGAGCTGTAAACAATACAGGAAGACATGAGCAATAGAATGCAAGACACTGAGCTAATTGAGAAAGAGAAGATACTGAAGCAGGAATTAGAAAAGTGGGTGAAGATAGAGGAAAGTGTCTACAAACAGAAATCAAGGGTGCAATGGCTGAAACTGGGAGACTGCAATTCAGGATACTTCTTTGCACAGATGAAGCACAAGAATTGTACAAATGGAATTCAAATGCTAACAGATGATAAGGGAAGGCAGTTAGTCCTAGATGATGAAATAGATGCAGAAGTCCTTGGTTACTACAGGAAACTACTTGGTTCAAAAGATGATTCCATTCCAGCTATCAATCCTAATGTAATCAAAATGGGAACTACCTTAAGTAGAGAACAACAAATGCACCTGATCGGACAAGTCACTAAGGAAGAAATAGGAGAGGCATTGAAAGAGATTAATGATCTGAAGGCTCCTGGATATGATGGGTTCAATGCAGTATTTTTCAAAAAGACATGGGGTAGTATAGGTGAAGAGGTGACACTGGCTGTGGTGGAATTCTTTGAGACTGCACAAATGTATAAACCAGTGAACTGTACAGCTATAACTTTGATTCCTAAAGTTAAAAACCCAACAAGTATAAAAGAATTCAGGCCCATCTCATGTTGCACAGTGATTTACAAGGTGATTTCCAAAATACTAACTAAAAGACTGCAGTGTGTTATGGATGATTTGGTTGACAACTCATAGGCAGCCTTTGTACCAGGAAGAGCTATTACTAATAATATCATATTGAGCCATGAATTGGTTAAAGGGTATGGGAGGAAAGGAGTATCTCCTAGGTGCATGATGAAACTTGACATGCAGAAAGCATATGATTCAATAGAGTGGGACTTTATGGAACAAATAATGCATGCCTTAGCATTCCCAGCACAGTTTGTTAGGTGGATAATGAGTTGTATAGGGACAATCACATATACAATTCTGATTAATGGAGTTCAAACTAGACCTTTTGAAGCAAAAAGAGGATTAAGACAAGGGGACCCTTTATCCCCTGACTTATTTGTGCTTGCAATGGAATACTTGACAAGAAGGTTGAAAATGCTCAACAAGGATCCAGATTTTAACTACCATCCCAAGTGTGCAAAGATGCAAATCTTGCAACTTGGTTTTGCTGATGACCTTTTATTGTTTTGCAGGGGAGACTTGAAGTCTGTCCAACTCATATTCAATGGTTTTCAAGAATTCTCAAAAGCCTCTGGGCTGAAGATCAACAAGAACAAAAGCTCTTTATTCTGTGGAGGAATTACTTACACAAGAGAATCAAGATGAGATGCTAAACTTCCTGGGAATACAGAAGGGAGAACTACCTGTGAGATACCTAGGAGTTCCACTAAGCACAAAGAGAATTTCCATTGCACAATGCCAACCCTTGATTGAGAAGATTGTAGGAAGAATAACATCATGGACTACCAGATTCCTGTCCTATGCTGGAAGAATACAGCTTATCAAAAGTGTCCTATTTGCTGTACAAACATACTGGGCACAAATCTTTGTGATGCCCAAAAAGATAACAAAGTTAATAGAGTGTATTTGCAGAAGTTTCCTATGGACAGGTGGGAGTAATGTATCAAAGAAAGCACTTTTAGCATGGGAGAAGATTTGCATGCCCAAGACAGCAGGAGGGTTTAACATCATGAATATAGCATTATGGAATAAGGCAGCAATATGCAAGCATTACTGGGAACTATACAGAGAAAAGAATAAGTTGTGGATCCAGTGGATCCATAGCTACTATATCAAACGCAGAGATGTATGGGGTATGCAGGTGAAACAAGCATCATGGATAGTGGGGAAGATACTTAAAGCAAAGGACACACTTGTTAAGGCAGGGTTCAACTATGAAGATGTCAAGAGAACCAAGATGTGCAGTATCAAAACAATATACCACAGGCTACGTGGAACTTTTAAAAAGGTGAGCTGGAAAAAAGTTGTGTGTCAAAATGCAGGTTGTCCACGATGGACCTTCATGTTAACTTTGACAGCTCATGGCAAGTTATACACGAAGGATAGACTACAGAAATGGGGTATGCAAGTAGAGGATGAATGTGTACTGTGCAGAACAGGAAGAGAAAGTATTCAACACTTGTTTTTTGAGTGTGAATACTCAAGAGCACTATGGAGCAGTATGTTAATTTGGCAAGGAATGAATAGGAGAATACAGGGATGGGATCAAGAGCTGATATGGGCAACACACATAACCAAGCGAAGGAATCTAAAAACAGAACTGTTCAAGATGATTTTAGCTGCAACAGTGTATTATGTGTGGCAAGAACGAAATGCAAGAATTTTTCAAGCAAAAGCAAGGGGATGGGAAGCATTATGCAAGCAGATTGTGCAAGAAGTCCACTGTAGAAACAACAAATACTTAGGAGCATGTTTGAATAGCCTGAATTGGTACCCTTGTAATAGATAGAATATGCTTATGTTAAAGGAGGGAGGGGAACATAGAAGAGTAGGATGGAATGTACGGGTTTTGTATTACTTGTAAATATTTTTCCCTGGTAAATAGAAAGTCTTAATTACCAAAAAAAAAGATCATGAGTTTACAGACACGCCCGGGGTGCGTTAGCAATTCAATCAATGATGCCAACCTTTCTGGTGGAGGGGGGCGAGGTTAGGAAGATGACGTGCATCACATGTTTGTTTCTAAAAGAGATTGCAATACACAACTCCTCCTCCTGCATCCAAGATAATTTCAAATGGTATAAATTTATGTTAAAAGGCAAGTGAGCAATAGGAAGACAGATTTATTAAGTGAACTCCTTTTGATCCATTTAGTTTAAAGTTGTAACTGCATTACTAATTTCTTTGTTGAATGAGCTTCTTTATACTGCTGAGACATTTTCATAGAGACGGTACATGCATAGTTGTCAACTGTTTTTATACTGGTTCCTCCTTATGTGGAAACAGTATTTTACTCTTGGCTTCCATAATTTTCTATTCATTAAGTAATAAACTAGAAGCAAATTTTCTAGGGAAGTTTGTGGAAACTTTTTCTAAGAGCTACTTCTGTTCTTTCCAATTGTTGGCAATGGCTAAATTTGACTTTTCAGACCTCAATTGTTATAACTTATTATTCCTTTGTATTTTCTGCACTGCAGGGCTTTCACTTCTTGAATATCCAGGGCTGAAACCTATAGATCCTGCTTATGCCTTGCCTGTTAGTGTTGTAAATAAAGTTATCCTTGGAAAATAATGGATCTTGCTTGATACTGGTATTATTTGCTTTTGATATGAAATTACCAAATATTTTTTCATTTGGAGAAGGTGATTGGTGTTACTAGAACTGAAGCATTCCTATGCCCTATGCTGGGCAGGTTGGCCTCATCTCTTGTTCTTGTTCTGGTTAAAGTTAGAGAAACAGTTTAATATACATGATGTTGTCTCCATTTACATACTTTCATGTCTTTGCGGGCTCTGGATTGCATTATTTCTCGTTTTCTTGGTTTTTGTCATGGTGGGTTCAACCCCATGGCTTCTTTCAGCCTCGAACAGTAAGTAATCACAGAGTTTCTAGGCCTTCGTATGTTAAACACATAGGAATATGGAGAGAGCAGCATTTCATAACTGGAAATTAGAGTATTGGATACCTTATTTTCTCTGAAATCACATTAGAATTTTCTTGCTCATCTCTAAAAAATATTTAGTAAACGGGGCGCTTTCGGCTTTTATTTAAGCAACTCGACCACCAGAGTGCTAGCAGCGAATGCAGCTATCACGACGTCCAAATTGGAACTATTTGTTGGTCGTGCGTCCTGAGTTTAACAATGTTGGCAATCTAAAGAAAGTGTGTCAAGGATGTGCCTCAAATTGTCTCGCCTCTAGTTTATGTAACCACTACTTCATATAGAAAAATATACCAAGTTATTGTCTGTGCTAACGGTTGTATTTGTGATTGCGCATAATCCGTACATCATAACCTGTGATCTTACTAGTAACGAAGGTGTATCCACTGATTAATTGTGAGACCGTTTACCAAAAATTCAGTGTACGCCATGTATTCCAAATTTCTTACTTGACATAGAGGGACAATAAGAATTATTGGAGATAGATTTAAGCCATTGATCTTACTCAACTGAAAATGAAGAATATTTGGATAATAGATGGAAAATGAGAAGTACTTATCAAAGATAGCTAGAGTGACTTATTTTTAAGCTTGTCATAACGGACGGTAAAGTTTTCTTCGACGGGTTTGAAACGTGAAAGCAGCCACTAATACGTATTAGGATAGACTGTTCATATCACACCCCTAGAATCACACCCCTAGAAATATGGTACTTCACCGGACCCTATGCACCGGGCTACCTTTTTTTCATGACAGGTAATATAAGGAAATACATACATAATTAGGTAAAAAAGAAATTATCTACTCTCGATAAGTATTTAAACTAAGTACGAGTTGATAACTAGAAAAGGATGCTAAATAGCTCGTTGAAATTGATCGATCAAATTACGTGATTGTGCAAAATAAATTTTAATATTTTCAGGGATACAACTTAAATACTTTTTTTTTCAATAACTTAAACAGATTAATTTTTAGCTTCTTCAAACATAAACTGAGAAAAACATGGATAGAAAGACTATGTCATATCGCTTTATCCGTTTGCTTAGTGGACAAGAATTAAGCATGAAACATATTAGGCACCAACCATTGCCAACTGAAACTCTTATTTCTTGAAATTTCCTTTGTCAAATAACTATTCGTCTTTGCTTCTCTTTGCACCTTCCCTCAATAAGAACAAATAATAAATATTCATCCAAACACCCTTCTCTTTCTTCTTTCAGAAATTCGAAAGTCAGAGCGCATGTAATATAATCATAGTAAGTTTTACAAGAACATTCTCTATTCTTCATCTCCTAACGTAATAGAATTTTTTATTTTATTTTATATTTTAGAAGATATACTTGGGATTTTGCTGCCATCTTTAGAGTCAAGGAAGCATTGGAATTTTTATTTATTTATTATTTTTTCCACCATGAAAAGTATTAACAAAGTTTGTTGAAATGTTAATCACTATCAAATTATATACTTATTTTTCTTCATTAGAACGAGTAGCATTGACATCAATCACTATTTGAATGACCACGTGAGAACTTGATAGTTACATGCAATTATATTATACATTATTTTTAACATTGACATTTAGTACTTTTTTTGGCCAATTATATTTATTTAAGGTTTTTTTTCATTTGGATGCATTATTAAAGAAAAAAAAAGGTGTCAAGTCGTTGTGATTTGATTTGTTGGCACTGAGATCTCTTTCCAAAATGGATTAAGATTCTTTGTTCCTCTTGGTTGGTCATTGGTGCTAACCTCATTTCCAAATACATCACTATGTGTGGCGTAGACCAAAAGCTTTTCATAGAAAGATTCCTATTACTAATGATGGGCCCTACGAAGAAAAGTGTAACGTTTTATTTCTGCACTTTCTGTGCTGTTCTATCATATCTTTCATCCAATATTAATTGTTTTAGCAAATTAAATTTATTTTTAAAATATATTATGTTTTAGAAAAAAGAAAAAAGTTAGTATCAATTTTTTTTTCTGGAATCTACTCGTACTGTTTCAATTAGTGAAGTACTCCCTCCGGTCCACTTTAATTGATTTTTGTCATTTTTTTGTGGTCCGCAATATTTGATTTTTTCAGATATCAAAGAACAAATTAACTTTTTTTTTTCAAAGTTACCCTTGGAGTAAAGATCCTAGGGGTATTTGTTATACTTTCAATGAATAAATTAAGGTTAATATGATAAATTTCATTGTTAATTAGTGCTAAAAGGTGGATTCTTATATGGGTAAAAACAACCAAAAAAATCAACCGGAGGGAGTATTAATTTAAGTGGGACACTTGAAGAAAGATTAAAAAGTAATTACACAAAAACTCTTACTATTAAATTATTAAATATTTTTCTTAAAAGGTACTATTCAAAAGTAAGAGTGTACACTGTTTAATTATTTCTTTTTAAGTAACTCCATTTTTTGTTTCATTTAATCTTTTTTTTTTCTTTTGTGGTAGATTCGACAGATAATATCGAGTTTGAGTTGGTGGGAAGGGTGTTCGTGAAAAGAACCAATAATTAATTGATACATATTTAGATTTAGTAGTATATAAAGGAGGGGAGGATAAAGATTAAAAAGAAAAATGGAGTCATCACCAAAAACACCAGACAGCAAAGGAGCAGGAGCAGCAAGTGCAACAAAATCATTAATGGACAACCTTTTAGGACTTCTGAGAATCAAAATAAAGAGAGGAGTTAACCTTGCTGTTCGTGATGTTCGAACCAGTGATCCTTATTGTGTTGTCAAGATGGGTAAAAAACAGGTATACTTCTCTTGATTTTTATTTTAAGTTTTTCATAGGATAATATAATTTCCACAACCTTTTAATGCACCTTCTAGATGTTTCAAAGCAGCTGTATACATACACCGGGTCATAAATCCGGCGGCGAAGTGAGGAATTTTATTAACTGGATTAAGATATACGCATAAAAATTTCCATTCATGGCTTTGGTTAATTTGTAAATTTTCCAGGGTAGATTCATAAAATTTAAGCTGCTTGGGATATGGTAGGTTGAGATTTGAGAAAACTTGGATTTTGGCAGTTACAAGAATTTTTTTTACTCTTTTATATGTAAGCCTATATTAATTGCTCTAACACAAATTTTGGACTTGCTTACGTTTTAATTTAAATGCAGAAACTGAAGACGCGAGTTATAAAGAAGGATATTAATCCTGAGTGGAATGAAGAACTGACCCTCTCTGTCTCTGATCCCAGTCTTCCTGTTAAGCTGGTAAATTTTCTTGCTACATAGTATAATATAAATTTCCTTAATTTCCTTGGCCGGCTATTTGTATAACAATTCCTAACAAAAAAAAATTCCTCGTCATTATTTTCTTTGTTGAAGTGTGTAACCATCTCATCTGAAAGCTTAAGTTGTATGAACGAATACATTATGTCTCCAACACGCCCCCTCACATGCGGGCTTGATTCTTTTTGATGATCCAAGCACGTGGACATTTGCCTGCTCGGATACCACGTTGAAGCGTGTGATCATCTCATCTAAAAGTTTAAGCTGGTAGAGAACACATTTTTATTTACTTCATTGTGTCTCCAACATTCTTTGCTCGCCTGCTTTTCGGGTATTAAGTATTCTATAATGGTAAAGTATAAAAGAATAGAACTGATATAGAGGATTCATATAGTCGATCACAAATAACTTGGGATTAAGAAGCATTTGATTGATCATTTGATGTTTGTTAATTATATTTGGTTGCAGACTGTATACGATCACGACACGTTCAGCATGGACGACAAAATGGGAGATGCAGAATTTGACATAAAACCATTTGTAGAGGCTCTGAAGATGAACTTAGAAGGCCTGCCATCTGGCACTGTAATTACAAGAGTACTGCCTTGCAGGACAAACTGTCTCGCCGAAGAGAGTAGAGTTGTATGGCAAGATGGTAAGGTTGTTCAAGATATGATACTAAGGTTGAGAAATGTTGAATGTGGAGAAGTTGAACTCCAACTTCAGTGGATTGAACTTCCTGGCAGTAAGATTTTGTAGAATGCGCGCGCATATATCTTGTTGTCTATAGCTTACAAAACTCTTTTCTGCTCCTACAATTTAATGGTTTGTGGGATATGGTAATGGAGTTTGATATATATATATATATAGGTCAAGTTTAATGAAGACCTCTTCACTCTGCACTTATGTGCACAAGATTGTAGCTTAGTGGATATGGGGTTTGAACTTTTTCATTTATAATCATGTAATTCACTGGAATTGCTTTTGTTATGTATGCTGTAATAATGATAATGCAGTTTTTTGCAGAAAGTTATATACTCTTTCTTTCTTTCTTTTGCATGAATAACTTATAGTCTTTCATCTTTTTACTCTAGAAAGTTATTAACATTTGGATGGCAAACGGTGCGGTGCGGTACGGTTGCGGGGCAAACCCGCATAAACTCGCGAAGATTTTAACCCGCCCCGCATAGCATTTGCACCTGTATCCACCCGCCCCGCAAAAGTTTTTTTTTTTTTTTTTTCATTTTGCTAGTTTGTTTTAATTAATTTTGTTGCTGGATTTTTTATTTCATCAACCAAAAAATGAAAAGCTTATGCTCATCAGCTCATGTATTGAATTGTTCAATTGGAATGCTGGAAATTGACAAAAACCTGAACGTTATGCTTATGGTATTGGAATTTGGAAACAATTTTCGAGCGTTCGTTAGATGATCAAGTGATAAATGTTAATTATTTAATCATAAAAATATTTAAACTACATTTTATATTCCCTTAAATGTATAACTTTTCCTTTTATTCAAAATTTCTAACTTAATTAATATTCTAATTAAAAGGTGTACTTGCAAAAAAAGAAGAGGTTATAAATGTTTTATTTTGTTTTTATGAAGTATCAAACATTTAAATAGATGTTCTGCTATTTAAGGTTTGTTGCATGTCTTATTACTAGATAATACAATAGGCCAAATTCAGTAAATTTGTGCAAACCTGCGTAGATCCGCAACCGCACTGCACCGCATCAGTCTTTTAAAAAATTATTTCAACCCGCCCTGCACCTGCACCTACCCTGCCCCACATAGCTTTAAACCCCCTCCCCCGCCCTGCACCCGCACCGGCCCATTTGCCATCCCTAAATAACATTTGAATTATACTAGCATTGAACATATGTATATTACTCATACTTGACAAATTAGTTCTAGCATTGATGAACTGCAGACTCTCTTCCTAACTGCACTAAATTGCTTTGGCTATTTCGTCGGTTGTCCTGGTAAAGGTAAAAAAACTTATTCGCATTCAGTGTTAGCGCCAAACTAGTTAGAATTCGGCATGTGCATTCTCTGTTAAGCAGGGGCAGAGCTAGAGTGTCGGGAGCGGGTTTGGCTGAACCCAATAATTTTGATTCGAACCCTATATTGTCTTACAAAATTCATTGAATAAATATAAATTATTAATTTAAAATCCAATAAATTTAAAACAATTACAATTCTGAATCCATAAACTTGAAATTGTGGCTCCAACTGTCAAGGCCTAATCATTGTGCTTTGGTTCATCAGATAAACAGCTTAGTGTAAACTTTTTAACCTGGCTGGATAAATTCACCAAATTGTGTCGGAATAGAAAGCAAATACACGGTTTAACATTCAATGTTCTCAACTCTTTTTCCCCCCTCCTGTTACTTCTCCAATCCGGGGCGAGCTAGAAGCCCGAATACGAATTCGGTCGGACCCAATAACTTTTGCTCAAACAATATAATTGTATTAAAGATTTCATTAAATATATTTAAATAATAAATTTAAAACCCAATTAATAACATTTGATATCGTTGTTATAAAATCTAGAACCCATAACTTTGAAATCCTGGCACTGCCTTTATCTCCAATGCTTGATTTCGATACCAATGTTTCAGGTTATTGTTAGTATCGTCTAGAGGATGGATAAAGGTGCTCAATTTGAGAACATAGGTGCCTGAGCTTTTTTTCATTTAGGACATTTCTAAAGCCTACACTTTTCCCCCCTCTTTTGTTAGGTAATCAGAATTTCATTAATGTAAAGCATGGAAATGAGAGAGCTAGGAAATCTCACATGCTGTCTACTTAGGTTATGCTTTCCAGTTTACTACATAAAGCCAAAAGAGAAAAGACACTCGTGTAGTGTATTCTGCTTTTGTCCTCAAAAACATCTCAGAATCGAACCATATAAACCACCAAATACAAGCCGGAAGGTATTGCTGAGCACAAAAAACATTATTTTAAAAAAAAAATATGCACCAGCCGGGAATCGAACCCGGGTCTGTACCGTGGCAGGGTACTATTCTACCACTAGACCACTGGTGCTTGGTTGTAAGATGACCTCATACTATATTTAATTGTCTTACATAGAAAGGGGATAGAATGGAATAGGGAGAATTACACCCCTTGTCACTTGGCCCAACAACCCATCAGAAAATGGCCCAGGTTTGGAGCCCTTACCCAGTGTAGCTCAGGTTGTACATAACCTCAAAATTACTTTTCATCAGTTAGTCCACCTTTTTTTTTCTTCGTTCTTCTTCTTCTTTCCTTGTCACGCCTTTGCACAATGCACCCCAAAATTTTCTACCATTTTTATTCTCCTTCAATTCTTCTTCCAGATTCAAAGATGGTAATCTCTTATGAAGTGCATTATTCTGTAATTTTGTCACTTATGGTTCAAAGATTCGATTTCAGAAAATTGGATTTTTCGATTTGTTAGCTGTTTGGAATGGGTGTTGTCCCAATTGATTGGAATTATCAACAGGAGTTCAAAACTTAAATTTCAAGTGATTTGGAGTAGATTTATGCTGGATTTGAGTTAAATTTCAGAGGATGCCCAAGGAAGAAGAAGAACCCGTGAAGCTCTATTGATAGGATTCATTTGTATAATATTGTATAAATAGTATATAAAGTGCATAAACACCTCTTATACACTATTTTATACAACGTTGATACATTATTTACAGGTATTCGGTGAATTTCTCACGTCTTCTTCTTCTTCTTCCCCTTCTTCTTCTTCTCATTCTTCTTATACACCTATATACATAGTGTATATCACGAATATTTTTACTACTGTGATTATACATCTTTATACACTTTTATACAACTATATACATAGTGTACCTCTTTGTAAGTGTATAACATTGTATAAAAGTGTATAAGCATCTATGATGAACTTTTTGTACGATTTTCACTTGTAATTCTTGTATAAAACTAGTCCAAATCTCCAGCAAATAACTTCAAACTTTGTATACAACCTACTTAGACTATTTATAATAAGTTCAAACAATACCCACTCCAAATTTCTCACAAAATCATAATCGAAATTTAAGAAGATTAGCATTGAACGAGATGAGATTTTAGGTTTTTCGCGTCTGATTTTGCATTTTGTAGTTGTGATAGGTATGTATAAACTTGAGAAAAAAAGAGAATAAGAACTCACGGATATTTCACGCCTAAAGATACACAAAATTAGAAAATGAAAAAAAAAAACAATTCGGAGAAATATTGATTATGGGAGAAGGCATGAATGAGTGTTGACTGAGTGTCTCGATCAATGGTTACACTAAAAATAGGAACTGATTTTCGTTTTCATTTTTTGTTTGCATATGATAGGCTATAATTGCATATTTTAGTCGCTTATTACACTCGAATTTACTGCACTTTAATTGAGTTTGCGCTTTAATCGCTAGTGTTTTGCACTAATTGTGTGTTTTATGCCTTGTAGGTGTGATTCCGAGCTATATAGATGTTATGGAATGAACTTAAGTGATTTTAAGCTTTGAAGTCTGAGTAAAAGCTCAAGGAATTAAGCCGGGATCGTGTTCGGGGGCCAAATTTGATAATTAAGTACGAACGAAGACTTGAGGAGGCATATTACGCACTGTCTAGTAAAATAGACATAACGTTTTGCTCAGAACTCCATTTGGGCTCCACAATATATGGTTGGAAAGCTAACTCAAAGGGCTACAACTTTCATGTTTTACGTTTTTCTAAATTTCAAACGGAACAGGGTGAAAAACCGCGGTTTTACCGCGACCGCGGCAGAACCGCGGTGGAAGGCAGTTTCTGAAGAATGAAGAATCCGCGAGGGCGTTTGGCCGCGGTTCCACCGCGATCGCGGTGAAACCACGGTGGGAAGCGTAAATTTCAGGGGCTAAAGTGTAAAACATGGGATTTTAAGTCCTAAACCCTATATAAAACAAAGGAGGCCGGCCTAGAACAAGAAAGAGGACATATTTTTGGACACAAATTAGACCTAAGGAGGCGGAGAGACACTACTTTAGGGTTAGACAACACCCTTGGAGGCAAGAACACATTGGGAGCAAGGCGGAGAATTCTTCTACGAGTTTTTCCTTCCTCTTCCTATTTTTCGTTGTTGGTTATGACTTTTAGTATTGTAGTTTTACATACTATTATGAATAGCTAATTTGTTATCTAGAGTTTGATAGAACCTTTTGTAGGATAAATTCTTGTTATGTTTTTATATAATTGAGCCATAGCTTTTCTCTATTTGTTCAATTACGTTTATATTCTGGTTGATTGAAGAGCTCTCAATTAGCTGTGCCTATTTAGTATGCATAACTCGGGAGAGAGTGCATATTTAGGTAATTGTTGAACAACACCACTCCCAAAGTATATGAGGGATCAATAACCGAGGGTTTAAAGGTGGGATTAGGGATAACGAAGCCTTGGGTGCGATCTGAAGTGAGCTGTATTAAAAGCCAGCTAGCGTAGCTCGGGAGAGTGCGTCTAGTAAATTGTCGTAATTACTCGGGAGAGATTTACGGTAATAAGAGTGCTCATGATCGGTAGAGAATACTTAGGCGAAATTATAGAAGACATAGCGGGAAGGATTCCGACAATTGGGGAAATCATAACTCTAGACCTCCTTAATCTTTTCTCTAACCCTCAGTATCGTTAGTTGTTAATTTACTATTTTAATTTGTTAGTTAAGTAGTTAAACACAAGAATCTTAATATCTATAAGTTAGGAATTGTTCAAGCTTGTCTTCTTGGTGATAGTGAACAGTTGTAGCTAAACCTTAGTTCTCTGTGGGATTCGACTCCGGACTTGTAAACCGGATTATATTTGCAACGACCGCATAGTCCTTTTTATAAGGCATAGTTGGGCGTGATCAGTTTCATAAACTTCATGAAACATCATAATAAACTGTGAAAGACAAAGGCTTATATTTGCATCTCCAACAACTTATTAGACTTGAAACCTGCAATGTTCAAAAATTAATTAAGAATTAGAGTTAAAATGGTTAGTTAGATCATAAATAGATTATTTTTTCATTCCTTCCCAAAATTCCATAAT